GGTAGGAGTAACGAAAATACAGTGAAAACTGCTTAGTAGGAACATGCAGTTAGATTACGTTGAGTGTTATTGTGCTTAGCAAAATTTTACTACATCAGTGTGGTTTCAATGTCACAAGCTTATACTTTGGTACTATTGGCAGTCGCTTCAATACTGTTTATAGTCGCGTCAACACCATTATCAGTCGCTTCAATGCCATGATCTGTCGCTGCTATGCTATAGTCAGTCGCTACAATACTATTGATCAGTCGCTCTAAATAGGATATATTTGCCGAAGTCAGCGGGTTTTCAACAGTAATGTATGACATTAAACAGGCTAGACTAGCTGACATTGTGCTTACTGAAATAACAGATAATTAAGATAAACAGGTGAAGGTCACTGATCTAGAGCTCAGCATGTAGTAAACAGTAACATGTCTTCTATTAAAACAGTACATTTACTCTAGTATCTCTTTTGGCTAAGAAAACACAGTTAGATGCGAGTTTGATAGAGTAATTGCATATCAGACATGGATAATAAGGCGTGAGTAGTACCACTGGGTAATAGATTGCTTTAGAATGTGGGTTGCACCGACAGAGGTAGACATAAGTAGCAGGAGTACAAGTTGCCTTTAAGCTCTCATACAGCTATGCAAGGTGCGCTCGCATGAAAGTGAGAGTCTGTATGAGTGTCCTGGCTATTTTCTGACAGTCAGCCTATACCCAAGGTGGGGAAGCATGGGTTCTTGGCATAAAGGGTTGCATAGGCATAGGGTAGTCCGCTGGGGATCGCTACTTGATCGTGTCGAGTTAGGGCATGCTCACCTTTCCATGGTCTGGGACAAGTTAGCTTCTCCTCCCTACGAACTTGAGGATTCCCATACTTCAGCTCGGTCTGGAGTAGCCGCGTGCGTCTGGCGTTTTTCAGCCTCTGTGGTTGGTGGTGTGCGGAGCTCAATCGGAGCTGCAGGTGAGTGAGAATTCTGCGCCATCGGAGGTGATGAGCTTGTTTTCCGACCGGCCGGTCAGCGTTGTTTCCCCGCAAGGGGTGTTGTGTACCGGGCCGGACTCTCTTTCGGCGAGCAGCGATAGGCACGAGACGCCGGTGTCTACCACTCTCCTGAGCCCGGGCCTTATGTGGAGCCCGTGCCGCATGTCCAGGGACCCTCCGTTGCTTTTCGGCAGGGTCGTGGGCCTGTGGGATGACCCTCCAGGTATCTGGGCGGCTGGTTGGCTTTGCCTCCGTGTGGGCTCCCAGCCCAGAATAGGAGACGTGGTTCGGCTCTCCGTTGTGTTGGGTCTGCGGCCCATGTGAGTTGCGGGTAGCGATGCGGTGCCAGAACCCTTGGACAAGGCGATCAAACCTGGCCTCGAAATTTTCCCGCCAGTTCTGGATGCCTGCCACCTCCATGTTATGCGCTGTCTGGAGCTCGGCGGCCATCTTTGTCTCCTCGTGCTGTCCCTCAGTTTGGGAGATCTGAGCGGTGCAGGGAGGAGGTTTCCCCGAGTGAGGACCGGGATATCCCCCGCCGGTCCAGAGGGGGGGTGACGGGGCTTCAAGCTTGTCATGGTGCAGTATGCGGTCCGGGTCAGAGGATCGGCCGCCTCCTCCAACCTTCAGGCCGTCATTCTTGCTAGGCCTTGCAGCCAGACGGGCGGAGTTCGCGCTGGATCCGTGTGCTGCTTGTATATTTGTGCCCCTAGATTGCTCAGCGGTAAGATTAGGCTGAGGCCATGCTGTTTTGTGATGAGTTATGGGCTTGAAATGCTTGTATTCAGCCCTGTGGTGCAGGAGCTGAGCTGGAACACGTCTGGCCATCTTGGCAGTCAGGCCCCGCCCCTATGCATGGCATTTTTGCAATTCTTTTTTGCCGTTTCTGACATCCAGGTAGTAAAAATGGGGCCCATCTGCCTTTTTTTACTTCAACTTGCATTAATAAAGCTGGTTCGGCATTGCGTGAGTCGTAGTTCACACGTTCCATTAAAATTACTTGGCAGTATTAAGCCACATAGATTTGCTCACTACACATGTAACTAGATAAAGCAAGGAAATATTAAATACACCTCTGTAACAAAAACATATTGACTAGCAGAGGCTTCTGCTTTCTATTATTCAGTAAATCACCCAGAGGACGCAATTTTCTGAGGTTCGTCATTATAATACGTGCAATAGGAAACACCAGGATGTGTAATCATGGGAAAAATAATTGCAGTGTTCTACCGTGTGTTGAAACACATTTTGCTTTTAAAACCACAGAAGAAACAATAGTTTTTTTTCGGTAATCACACAAGCGTTTTCTAGGCAAGTTTGGAAATTAATGAGTCCATTATAGCGAACAAAGGAAAAAAGAAGAGAATGAAAAGAAATGACACTTAAATTCAACAATAAAATGACACTTAAATGTGAAGAACCACCTATGGGTCCCATCTATTGACAACAAAAGGCAGTCCATACTGCTTAATTATGTACAACATTTTACCATATGGATAACTCTTAAACAGACAAGAAGGACAGGACAGTGTTTATTTTTAAAGTCTTCTAACATTGTATATACAGACACACCTATTAACACAGGGAGATTGAAATGTTAAACCAATACCAGGTCTCTGCTGCTGTAAGAAGCTGCAGGCCGCAGCTTACGCCAGCTTACTTAGAGGATGTAGAATGTTTGTTAGGTAAGTATACTGTTTATGTTCTATATATTAAATCTAAGTAATATATAGGTAATTCTTAACCACTTTCTCAATTCTGAGGATGAGGGAGGAGGGGTGCAGGTATGGTATGGGCTAGTGTTAGGTAAATTGATATGTAGGACATTCCTGACCACTTTCTCTATTCAGAAACTGGGCGCAGGTGTGGTTGGGGTTAGTGTTGGTTGGACAGTTATCACGGCAGCTAGAAGCATGTTTAAACACATGTGTACTGCATTCTTCTCTGATGTCCCAAGATACAAGTATTAGCAATGAAAGAAAGTGTACAAATAGTTTAACAGTGAACTTCCAGATACCCACTATGGGAAGATAAAGTCAATTTGACTTCTTCTATTTACTAGGGAACAAGTACATTAACTTAATCTCAAGAACAAAACTGAAAAAGCAAGAAACCAATGGTATAAAACAAGTCCAAGCATGATTTTGCAAGTTATGCACAACAGATCAGATCAGCAAAACAGAACAAAAATACACACAAATCTTTAAACAGACAGCCAGGTAATCAGAGGCGTGAATACAACCGAGATAAATCGTACTTGACTATATAACTATGAACATTGGCTACAGCGCCCTCTACTGTCCATTAACACTACTAATATAAAGTTGATGGTGCCACTCTACCATACACATGGATTGAGATGTATATAAGTATATAAGCACGCTGTAATATAGGCATTTAATGTATGTGGTAACTTTCCCAAGTGTAAATAACATTATTCTACAAACGCAGATTTACCTGCAGCACTTTCATTATTTAAATGAATATGGATATGTGTCTTTCATGCAATGATGAAAGGCAGATTTTTGTCATGGTCAGTATCAACAATGAGACTCACAGAGATCACTTCAATGTACGAACGCATCACATCCGTTTAGAAGTGTGACCTGTGGCCAAGAATGTACAAGGATAAAATCGCTAAACCATCGAAGGGTTTAGGGGAGAGGTGGAGGGCACAATATAAGCTGTGCCTTGGAAATGTCAGTGGTAGTTTAATGGGAGCAAGAACACAGAAAAAGTAACCCCAACATGTTATCTCTGTGTGTATTTCAGAATAACAGGATTTCGACTTTAGTCTTCCAACTTGGTAAGTTTGTATGGGCGCTTGAAAATGAGATGGAGATGCGACTGTTCTAGAAATATAATCTAAAATTAGTTTAATGATGGAATTAAATTGCAGTTGTGCCATGGTATGTGCGCATGTAATCACAATTTTGCAACACCTAGTTGAATGTATAATTGGGCACGCTGGTTATCAAAACACAGAAATAATTAAATACACTCTGAGCACACTATAACAATGCAGGATATGGTCTACACAGGAGAAGGCAGGGTTTATCTGGACTTGCTCACCATATAAAGCGATAAACTAGCATGGTGCATATATTGATATTTACACCAGCATGCCATATTGCTCAGCAACACAGGGTGAACGTTCACGAGAAAGCAAAGACTGTCAGAAGAGCAGGCAAGAAGTGCTTTGGAAATAAAATACGGAATTAGGAGAGAAAATGTCATACACCGATTACAGAGTCCAAGCTTTTCCTGAAACTAGAAGTGCAGAACAATCTTTTAAGTCTATTTATTGGTCTTCGTAATTGGCACAGACTTAATTTTCAGCAGCACATTTGATTTTATTTGCTCATGGGTAGTAATCGCTCACATGGTCTCGCAATACGTTTGCATTTTGTTGATTTCCAACACAATCAGGATAAGGAGACGCATTGTGGTGTATAATATAGCTCAGCAGAATAGGCTGCAAGACTTGATTTATTGGAATAAGCCTGTAGTGCCACATGACATTTAATGTTGTGAAATTATTCACCCTGTAACTCGGTAGCGATGGAAGGCAGAATTAACCCCTCTTTAAGATAAAACATACTATTTGACAAATGGTGATGAAATATGCTTAGGGCCTCTTTGGGACTGAAACGCTTAAAACACAGCCAGCAGCTGCACAAATACCTAATTTATTATTAATTACTTCTTCTTTAGAATTATCAAAGCAAAACTTCCCAAGGCACAAATTCAATGTGTTGCTTTAACTGCTGACATCAAGCATTTGATATTTACGAGACTCTCTGGGAAAATGTGCAACTAAAACCCATCAGTTATATCATACGCTAGTACTCATCTTTCATACCTGTAAGATGATGTAATGATAACCATCTAGTTTCCCTTGCAATGCATGGCATTTATTCAGGAAGAACAAATAACTTTAAAACAGTTTTGAAAGAAGATCTGTCATTTACTCAAACTTCTACTTATTACAGTTCTGCGAAGTTCATAAAACTATATAAAATGGTATATATGCATAGATTAAAATAAAATACCTGCAGCACCACCATAGCGAAGGACCTAACAGCCTGGAATAAACCACATTTTGGTTGGCTGTGTAGAAAAGATGAATGTCCTACCTAAATTTCTTTACCTGATGCAGACTCTACCAATTAAAATTCCCTCACCCTTCTTTACACAGACAAAGCATATTTTTAACACCTTTCTCTGGAAACACAAGCACCCTAGACCAGTGTTTCCCAACCCAGTCCTCAAGGCACACCTACCAGTCCAGGATTTAGGGATTACCCAGTTGTGTCTAAGGTGTTTTTTTTCTTCTTTGTAAAAACACCTTAGACACAATTGGGTAATCCCTAAATCCTGGACTGGTAGGTGTGCCTTGAGGACTGGGTTGGGAAACACTGCCCTAGACTACAATACAAGACCTTAACACGCCACAAATTATAAGGGAGATTAGGTCTACCCAACCTAGAAACATACCATACGGCCATCATGCTCAGAAACAAACTATATAGCTCACCTCCAGACACATGAAGGTCAAGGACAACCACCACCCCCTTTACCCTGGTCCCTCTCTCCTCCCCTCCCCCCCCCATCTAGCTGTTAGTCGAAAACTACGATACATACACCCCCAATGGTTGTCTCATTGACCGCTCTGAGCCCACACCTGGGCAGTAGGAAGATGACCTCCTACAGTATCTCAGACAATGGGACAATTGTGTCACAATGCAGCATTAGGGGACTGACAGCCAGCGAGGTCAGCGCCACATACGACTAAACAGAATGGTCTCAGGATACTACCAAAAAGGGGATGGACTTAAGAGACGTAGTAGTTCATCCCCCCCCCCACCTTTCCTTTCTCTTATAACCACCCACTCCCCCCGCTTTTAATACCCCCCTCTCTCTCTCCACCTACCGACCCCTCACTTCACGATTATAACCATGCCCTCCTTAAGTGAACTTAAATCCCCGTAAATTAAAAAATAAATACAACGATCATATAAAGAAATCCACCGAAAGGAACATTAAAGGAGGAGGTGGACTTAATCACAAAGAGAGGAAACAGAACCAGGAACAGGGGGGCGGGAAACGCGAAAACGCGGAAACACAACAACCTATTGATGCAAATTTTTATCACTTTGTTTTATTTTTACATATTTCTTTCAACCTAAGTGCTCAACCTACGCACATGTTCGGCCTAAGTTGACTGCCTCTCTAGGCACCCATTACTTAACGTATGTTATTGCTAAAATGCATATATAACCAATGTTGCAGACTGCATTTTTTTACTGCACAATTCAAT